CAGACGTCGAGGTTTGGGGTTTTGGGGTTTTTTTTTTTTTTTTGAGATACAGAAAACACCCAGAGAAAACACTCCAGACCGAGGACGCTGGCCCGAATAACAGATCATTGAACTTTAGGACGCCTGTTAACTTCCTATACAAACATACTCAACTTTTGTCTCGCTAATCTGCCCTTGATCAGCAATTTAAACGCTAAAGCTTTGTTACTCAAAAAAAAAAAAAAAAGTTTAGTGACCATAGGAAAGCAGCAGGATAATGAAGTGCACCGCTCAGGCTGCAGTTAGTCTGGCTGCCTCCAAAACTGCTAGTAAGGGCATTTTTCACTTTCTAATAAATGCTTGATGCAAGCAGGACAACTCGGAGATAATATAGGAATCAATTCATAAAGCTTACTCTAAACCGATTAATTTGTTGCCTTCAATCCAGAGTCCAATAAACTCCTGGTGTTCCTCCAGTCACTTATACTATAAAAAGATCAAGTTATTTACTGCCAATTAAGCAGCATGTTTTGTCTTTGTCCTTTGTAAGCCGTGTGTGCTCATACCGAGGCATCCGGCTGGCTGCGGAGGACGCTCGGGCTGATACCTCCGGAGCAGCGAGGCGAACTTTCCTGCCACCGGCCCAACTCGGCTCCAGCAGAGCGAGAACTCAGGCCGATTTTAAACACACATTTCCTCAGAAAGAGTTCCTGAAGGTACGTCCAGTGACCGCACAATAAACCAGCAGAACTGCACCAATTAAGCTGTAACAAAAACCCCGAGACTTGGGAAAGAAAACCACTCTAAAAGCCATTAGCATTGCATTTATCCGAACGCATCATATACCTTTATGTAAATTGATTTCTGATGCATTTGTTCAAGGAATTGCCTTTTGTTACAGTTTCCAGCTACAGCCTAAATGAATCTGCATTTCCTGCTCTGAGTCTTTAAACCGTTTCCCTACGCTTTAAATCACTCCGGATTTCTTAAAAGAAAGAAAAAGACTCCATGCTACCACATCACCCCGTCTTTGTCGAAGGCAAATATATATAAAATGGGAAACGTTACACCGAGAAAACCATCCCGTAACCCCATTAAGCTAAAGCTCTTAAGGACAAGCAATACCTTAATGCTGATTAAATCTAAAAAGATGAATCAAGAGGACTGACCAGAAAGTGACTCCCTTGATAACTAAGGACGGGCCCTCATCAAGTTTCATTTAGAGTTGGGGGGAAAAAAGCTTTTAACTTAAATAGGCTTACTCTAGTAATTACACAGCCAAGCAATTTAGGTCCTGGGATAGGAGTCGGTGAAATAGAAAGCAGAGCTCGAAGCTAGAGGCAAAATAACCCCCCCTTTTAACAGCGTCTCTGGTGCTTTTTTAATGGAGACCAAGGGAGGGACAAGCGGAGAGCTGGCAATTTGTAGTACAAAAATGGATGCTTAATTCACGTCTTGGTTTTAATTAGGTGATTCACCGGATTTCTCCTGGATTGAAACAAAAGACCGTGCGGGGGGCAGGAAGGGAACGGGAGAGGGGAGAAATAGAGAGCTCACTTTGATCTTTTCTGCCACTGTTTCAGCACAGTGTTTACTACGGGCGAAGCGGGCGCCCGGCGCTCCCCCCGCCCCTTCCCCTCCGCGCACAACCGCGGCCGGCAGAGCCCGCTCCCCTCC